ATGGGACAAGTTTTACCCTCTCCACTCCCCACTCTCCCTTTCGCTCCTCAGAAGCCCATAGCTCACCCCGTTCGCCCAAAGCTAGACTGGAAAGAGGCTGCTCTGAGTTAAAATAGTAACTCTTCATGTGTGTGGTACTTTAAAAACATCTTCACAGGTACACATCACTTGTAAGCTCGGTGGGTGGCAGAGTACCTCCACTGTACAGATGAGGTCCCTGGGGGCCTTAGAGATCACATGACTTGCCCAGTCTCACGGCTAGGAGAGGGCCAAGCCACGGCGTGACCCAAGGTCTGACATCTTGAGCCGGCCGTCTTCCTTCCGCATCGCAAGAACAAGTCCTGGCCGGGCTAGGCTCAGACCTCTCTTATTCTGCCTGGTAATTACTGTTTTTCTGTTTTAGGGGTTCCTTGGTCTGGGGCCCCATGGGATAGAGGTAATTACATCCTTAGCGATGCCCTTAGTCAGCAGCTTCCAGTCAGTCCCCGCGACCAAGCCCACTTCTGCCCTCTGTCCTTCCTCTGCCCCAGTGCTGCCAGCGTCTTGGGGACATGATCTGATCACGTTCTGTCTGTTCGATGCATCTGACTAGACAGACTGCCCATGAATGCTCTGTCTTCAGACAACGGGGTGCTCTTAGTCATCGGGGGCAAAAAGGGACACGTCGCAAATAGTGCTCCTCCAGGCCCACCCAGCTATTAGAAAGCACAATGTCTACTGACGCGTGGGGCCCAGGGACTGGGCCTTCTTATAGAAAGGACAATGCTTCCATGAGTGTTGCCCTCACTACTGTTCTTGCCCCCTGTCTGCTCAGGGGGGACAGCCAGCCTTCTCATGTGGCCTGAGGTCTGTACACTCTCTCTCGTACGTGTGCACACAGTCTTGCACTTAGGAAAAAAGGTGGAATCCCTTGGCATAGCCTTCAGGTAAGTCCCTGCAGAGCCAGCCCGGCCTGCCGCCCCCGCCTTATCTTGCATCCAGTCCCCTCTCCTCCTCTGCATCAGTCACTCCAGTCTCTGGTTGGCTTCCTCCCACCGTACTGTGTTTCCCACCCTCCACGGGGCCTGGCACGGAATGCCCTTCGCCCAGACCCTTCGGGCAGTCAGCCTTTCTCCATCCTTTAGGCTCAGGGCAGTCCGGGCCTCCTGAGAATGCCTCATCCAGCTCTTTCTCTAAGGAAGGTCCTTGTGGACGTAGACTGTAGCAGGCCGCTGCCCCGTAGCACTCTCACAATGCCAGTTCTTCTTCACGATTCGCTGGCTGGTGTCCGTCTAAACGCACTCGGTGTGAACGGGGCCGCTCTTCTTCTCTCAGCGCTGCATATTTTCTAAATACAGGAGCACACGGAGGACTTTCCAGATGAGTCACGTTTCTAAACCTGTCTGGAACGGGGCATCAGCTTGGGTCTCACAGCCCTCGAAAGTCACCGTACTCTTACTTTTCACGGATGACGCTTCCGATGCGGGACCAAGAGCAGCTCAGTTATCAAAGCCGTCATGAGGAGTGCTGGGGACGCACTGGGGATGTGTTGGGCGGCTAACCACAAAGTCAGCAGTTCGAGACCACGGGCTTCTCTACAGAAGAAAGATGGGGTGTCTACTCCCATAAAGGTGACAGCCTCAGAAAGTCAGGGGTGGTTCGGCCCTGTCCTATAGGGGCCACGAGGAGTCAGCAGTGACTCTGTAGCCGGGAGTTAGGTTTGTGGTCTATGGAGCTGCCCACACTTTGTCACACCAGCCATCTGAGACCTCGATGAAGACAGATGAGGATGAGTAGGATGGGTGGGATCTGAGCGGTTGTGTTTTCAACAGGCTTCTGGGTGCTGCCCATGCTGCTAGCCCAGGGCCCACCCTTGGAGTAGGGGTCGCGTAGTCTCTACTGTTCTCATGGTCCTTGGATTTGTTACAGAAATTAGGGGGGAAGTGAGAGGAGGTGTCCCTAGTAGGATGGGACATTAGACTGGGCCTCTCCTTACACTGGCTACTTAGGACTATACAGGGGCCATCCCAAAAGTGCACGGAAAGTGGACTTTGAAGATAATGGAATTTTTCCATAAACGTATGGCTTATGCATGTGGTTGGTCGGCTTCTTCAGAGCGTGTGGCTGGGTCCTGGGGAGGGGCAGTCTTCCAATGCCAACAAGGTGGAAGAACCCGGCAGTCTAGAGATCCAGCCTTGCAAATCACGTGGCATTATTCTCTGCCCTGCCTTGTTGGTCAGGGCCCACCAAGTTCTGCTTGGGTCCAAGGACCTAAGGACAGACCTGGCACTCAGATGGGAGGGGTGTCCTCCCAGAGGAGGGAGGAGCAGTACATAGAGAGCACGTGGGGTGGGAGGAGGACTCACGGCCGTCTTTGGAAAAGGGAATCCACCACTTGGCTTCATGTGACAGGAAATAAGGAAGGGTATCACAAGTAAAAAGTTACCTTTTGGCTCGATACCCCCCGCCCCCCCCCAAAAAGGCGATCCTCATTATTTGTGAATTCTGTACTTTCATCTCATTGACTCCCTAAGACCTAGTTGTGACCCCCGCAAGACAACATGGTCGTTGACAATCTGTGCATGCGCATAGAGGCAGGAGACTTGAGTTACCAGAGCTTACCTGTCCCTAGCTAGGGCTGGACAAGAGGGATTCCGTGTCCACTACGATACTATTCCTGACAACTTAGTGCGCTCAAACCGCCACGCATGACGTGAATCAACTGTGAATGAAATTCTGTGGATGTATAGTACGCATAACAATATTATATAGGTAATATAAAAACCACACTCCTGGCTTTCCTGTGGGCCACCGGCTTTACCTGAAACACCAGTCTAGGGAATGATGCTGGTGGGGAACGGGACAGCAAACGATGTTGGCCAAGCCTTGTACACTTTCATCTGGCTGCCAGGAAATAACTTGGCCACCTAGCGATGTCACCCTTGGCCATCCCGCTTCCTGTTCCGAGACCTTGTGCAAGTAACAGAGCCCTAATTCCCCCATCTGCTACATGAGGATTATTGTTTCGAATGAGATATTTTTGGAAAAATGAATCATCCAGTAAGTGGTACCTACTCAGCTCTCAATAGGCATGTCTCCTTTTCTGTCACGTCCCCTCTCCCCAAATCCCCAGTGGGCCCCGATCCTCGAGTCTGGGAGGGAGAAGCAGCCTACTCCAGCCATAGTCAGCCATGGAGTGGCGTCTGGTCGCCCCAGCTCGGCTGTGCTTGGAGGAGGGTGGGGGCCGGAGGCTGCCGCAGTTCTTCCAGCTTATTCTGAATCATGCCTTCTCTTACTTTGAAGTCACCAGCTTGGCTTGCAGGTAAGAGGGGGCTGGAGGCCATCTGACAGCCCACCTGGCCCAGCTGGAGAGTTGAGGAGCCCCTGCTTGGAGGCCATGGTCAATGCTATGGGGATGTTGTTGGCACCAGGACAGGGCACTGGCAGTGGTAGAATAAGCCGTGGTCTGGAGACAGCTGCTGCTGCTCAACGCACAGCTGTCCCCCTGCGACCTCATCCATCTCCAAGAAGATGGTGAGAACGCTCAGCCGGGGGCAGCCAGCAGGAGAGCCTCAAACTCAGAGGGCTATAGTGCACACCAGGGGTCCTCAAACTTTTTAAACTCAGACCCATTGGCGGGCCCGACTATAGTTTAAAAAAACAACAACACACAACTATGAACAAATTCCTATGCACACTGCACAAATCTTACTTTGAAGTGAAAAACAAAATCACCCGCAGGGCTGGAGAAATGTCCTCAGCGGCCGCATGTGGCCCGTGGGCCGCAGTTTGAGGACCCCTGATGCAGACTTTCACCTGTTCGTGCCCATCCCGCTTCACCACAAATAACACCTTCAAGAGGAGTTGTTGATGTTTCCTGTCTGCTTTCCAGAGGAGAAAGTGGGTTGAGTGTCCACTACGAGCAGCTAGAGATGGCCATGTGGTGGCCTAGGCCTCTGTCACTCTACATAGTCTCCCTGCAGCCCTGGCAGCCATGCCTCAGGAATCTCTTTGCTCATGGCCTTGGCTGGCCCAGACACCTTCCCCACATGGCTGCCTGGGTCGGAATCAGGCCCTTTGGGCGTGTGGTGGAGTGCCGCTGCCGGGAGCGCGGCATTTCCCAGGGCAGGGACGGCTTGAGAACTCCTTGACACAGGTCTGGTGGGCTCAAGGCCCACTCTGCCAGCCCCCAGAGGCCCTCTTGCTTCCTCGGTTGGGCCTCTTTTCTTCTAAGTTCCCTTCCGCCCAAACAGCGGTCCTCTACGCCTAGGGCCCTCTGGGTCTGAGGGAAACGAGGGGACAGGGGCGTTTCAGAGATGGCCAGCAAACCTGAGGCAGGACCTTGGGGGGAAGGCAAGCCACACTTCACGTCTGCCCCCTGCTCTGCCCGCAGGTCTCTGGATGGGCGGCTGCAGGTGTCCCACCGGAAGGGGCTCCCCCATGTCATCTACTGCCGCCTGTGGCGGTGGCCTGACCTGCACAGCCACCACGAGCTGCGTGCCATGGAACTGTGTGAGTTCGCCTTCCACATGAAGAAAGATGAGGTGTGCGTGAACCCCTACCACTACCAGAGAGTGGAGACGCCAGGTCAGCCTCCTGCCCCTGCCCCTCCTCCTCCTGCCCCTGCCCCTCCTGCTCCTGCCCGGGATGGTGGGATGGTTGGGGGAGCCAGCCGGCCGGGGGCTGATCCACCTCTGCTTTGCCTCCTGTGCAGTTCTACCTCCTGTGCTGGTGCCGCGACACACGGAGATCCCGGCTGAGTTCCCCCCACTGGACGACTACAGCCATTCCATCCCCGAGAACACTAACTTCCCGGCGGGCATCGAGCCCCAGAGCAATATTCCAGGTATGCTGGTGCACTGGCTGCCTGGGGTCCCCAGGGGACGCCACAGCCCAAAGTGGTTTCTGCCCCCCTTCCCTGCTCTCTTCACACCCCCCCCCCCTCCCAGCCAGGCCCCGGGCTGACTCAGAACCGCATCCCTTTGGGGAGAACACTCGTGGCCTAGGCTGGCTCCCCACTCGCTGTTGATGCTTTTCTTGGCCTGGGAGCAGCGTGACCCTTCCGCCTGGCCTCCAGCACCATCATTTATTTTGGAAGCGGAAGTGGTGATGCTGTGTTTCTCGCACCACCCTCTCGTCGTCATGGTGCTGGGGTTCCGACAGGATCCCCAAGGGAGGGTCTCTCGGGGCCTGCAGGAGAGGTGGCCCGCAGAGTGCAGTGGGGCCAGCCCTATAAGTAAGCCTGGGGCGGGGTCTTTTGTCCATGGCTGGGGACACCTGACTGCACACCCTGGTGAAGGGTTACAATCTGGGTGGAGCTGGAGGTTGAATTCAAGAGTTTTTAACTCTGCGACCGAGAGCCTGTAAGTGTTTCCGGAAGCCCGAAATTCACATGCAAATAATGTGTGAATAGTTTGACTTTCTCCTCAGCTGACAACGCTGCTCTAACTTGACCTTGTGCACCCAGTTACTGGACTGAGGTTAGGGTTAGAGGGAGTGGCCTGTGGGCTTGGGTCAAACCTCTAGGCATAACCAGGCTGGCCTCCTCGCCCACACCTGCCCTCTGGATCCGTCCACAGGTAGTCCTGGTGCCTGGAGGTGACTCACCCAAACCTCCACTCATGCAGCAAACCTTTCACTCAGGCGCTGCCTGTTGTTGAACTTGTAACCTCACTGGGAAGCTAAGACACAGCCCTGGAAAAGACAGCCCTAACAGCAGTAAGGGCAGGTGTGCAGGGGAAGCTAGTGGGGTCATGGGGGCAGAGGTAAGGCCATAGCTTAGTAGCTTCTCAGAGGACAGAGGGCAGTGAACGCTGAGATAGGTGCAGAGGCTTCCCAGAGCGGTTGGCGCTTACACCTGAGCTTCCAGGGGAGGGGAGATGGGCCTAGGTGTTCGTGTAGGAATGAGTGTTTCTAAGTCAGGGTGATAAGGAGGGTGCCCACAAAGGCAGTTTCAGTCAAAGGGAAGCTGGGGGTTGACAGGAATGTGGCCAGCACCCATGAGGTGCCAGTGCACTGGCCCAGGACCTCAGTGTCCCCAGCGCCCACCAGCAGATAGCCCTGGAAGTAAGCGATGCTTGCAAACGGCATCTTAGACCCCAGACCCTGGAGACCCTTTGATGAACCAGCTTCCTTCTGATTCCCAGAGACCCCACCCCCTGGCTACCTGAGTGAAGATGGAGAAACCAGTGACCACCAGATGAACCACAGCATGGATGCAGGTGAGAGCCTCCCAGGGGCACCCTTAGTTGTTACTGAACCTGCCATCCCTTCTCCGCTCGCCCTCCCTCCCCCGCTTTCTCCATTCTCTCCTCCCCGTGGATATTTATAGAGCCATCACGATCTGCCAGGGACTGTGCTGGGTGTGGTAGTGACTGTCGTCCTGTGGGTCCTGCTGGGAGAAGCCATGCAGCACCCAGAGCTCAGAGCAGGGCCACCTCCCCCGCCTGAGAGAAGAGCAGTGCTCGGCAGTCAGGGCAGGTCTTCCGTGCACGAGGTGGAGGTGGCCAAGCCATCAGGGCAGGCAGAAGGTGCGCCAGGTGGAGTCTCGAAGGTATGGGCAGGAGAACTCCATGGGGCTGGATCTGATCCCCCAAGGTGATGAGATGCCATTTAGCCTGTGGCCCAGGGGGACATTCCTGCAGGATTTCTGCCTTCGGGAGCTATTGCTGGCAGTGGGGTGCAGCGTGGGCCAATGGGAGGAGACCCTGGATGGAGGCAAGGCTGGTGGGGAGGGAGACCCGCAGGAGCAGCTGTTGGTGTGTGGTGACCCACTGCCATCCATGTGCTCCAGCCCCCGGGGAGCCAGTCCCATTCTCGCCAGCCACCGCTCCAGATGTTCCCTGGTCGGTCGTCTGTTAGGGGATCAAGTTGGCATCAACCCAGCAGCTCCTGGAAGTGCAGCCCAGCTGCCACTTAGGACGGGCATGTGTGGTGTGGGGCTGGGAGAAGAGGAGGAGGGAGCCAAACAGATGTTCCAGGTCATTGATGGTGGGCACGCCTGGCACTTCCAGAGCCAGCTGTCCTGGCAGCCTACAAGAGAGGGTGCATTTCCTGAAAGGATGAAAGAGACTCCCATGTAGACATAGGGTCCTTGAGGTCTACGGTGGGCATCGTGGCTCTTTGGGCTTTGACACTCCCTCCCTGGATGAGGGGCTGGCAGTGGGGACAGTGGGGGCCTGTGTGGAGTGCCCAGAAAGCCTTCCTGTATATGATGCCAGGTGAGTGCTGAGAGCTTGCAGCGATTAAATGCTGGTGTGGGCAGCAAGCCAGCTAGGCAGCGTCTTCCCAGAGGCTGCATTCTCACCCGCCCTTCTCTCGTCCAGCCTTGCTGCTCGGCATAATTTGTACAATGATCACCGTTATAGCCAGGAGAAAACAGACCAGAGCCCGAGGTCTGTCTCTGGGCGGAGCTGCCACGTTTCTACTCGCTCAGTCCTCATTTCTTCTCCCTCCTCCTCCTCCTCCTCTTTGCTCTACCCCATTTTCTCTTCCCTTCCTCTCTTGCTACAGGTGTGTCTGCAGGGCCCTGCTAAGAACAGTCGTGCTTTTAGCAAAAGTGGAGCTGGAGCTGGAGGGACCCCCAGCCAGCCCCGTGGAGGGGAGGGGGTCCTGTTTGTCCTCTGTTCTCCATGCCAAGTTGCCCTCTTAGAAACCAATCCCGTGGCCCCAGGGCTTGGTGTCCCTGCCAACTGAAGTGTGGCAGTGTCTCAGTCAGAGCTGGGAGATCACTTTGTCCCTCCTGTGTCTTCTCTGACACACACACAGCCCTGCACACCCATGGGAGGGCCCCCCAGCCTTCCAGAGCCTTCAGGACTGGGGCCACTTCTAAGCTGGACACAGACATGGTTCAACACCTACTGTTATTGAGTGGCTACTATCTGCTAGTGGTAGGAACCCGAGTGGCCTAGTGGTTACGTGTTGGGCTGCAAACCGAAAAGGCAGCAGTTTGAAACCACCAGCTGCTCGGCAGGAGAAAGATGGGACTTTCTACCCGTCAAGAGTGACAGTCTGGGAAGTGCACGGAGGCAGCTCTCGCCTGTCCGGCAGGGTTGCTGTGAGTCAGAATCGACTGCGTGGCAGGGGTTTGGTTTGTGTTGACTCTGTGCTAAGGAAGCCCTAGTGGCTCGACAGTTGAGGGCTCAGCTATTAATCCAGAGGCAGTGGCTCCAACCTGGACAGCCTGCTCCCATCAGGATCACAGCCTAGAGCACACTGTTGGGGCAACGCAGAACTGCCTCCACAGCACCTCATGACGCCGTGCCTCACCTACTAGCAGGCCCCTGGGTGCCCTCGAATGGTGTGCGGTGGACTGCGACCCCAAAGGTGGTCAGGTAGAACCTCCCCAGCCATCTTCGGAGGAAAGACTGCCCAGCCTGCTCCCAGGGGATCATGGCCCAGCTCCACGGAGCAGCTCTGCTCTCCCCTGGGGCGGCGGGTAGGGGTGGTGACCTGCGTGTACCGGGACTGTGTGGCAGGCACAGTGTGGTGATGCATCTGACATTCAGCCTCATTTAATGTGCACCCGTCACCACAGAGTCAAGGCTCAAAGTGATCATTATCACTATGTAACTCAGTGGTGATGTGTCCGGGCTACGGGGCAGATTCTGACACCACGCAGCGGTTATTACACACACACACACACACACACACACACACGCCCCAGGGAGTCCTTTCTTGGGGGAGAGACAGAAAGGGCTCCTCCCTTGGCCTCACGGAGGGTACAGTTGAGTTAGGGGCAGCACCAGGCCCCACGAGCAGTTCAGAGCAGTAGGTGCTTAAGGCCAGTTGCAAAGCCCAGCCAGCAGGGTCTGGGCCATCCCAGACACGGTGAGCTGGTGGAATCTGGGGGCAAGACCAAGTCGGTCCCCCTAGACACAACAAAACCCCCCTGATGCCGTCGAGTTAATTCTGACTGCTGGGGACCCGGCGCATGCCAGAGCAGAGCTGTACTCTGCAGGGTTGTCAGTGATGGTAATTTTGTGGGGGCAGATCCCCATGGCCTTGTTCCCATAGGGGGGTGGATTTCAACATCTCCAGATGTTCCCAAGTCAGTTGCTAGGGGATCAGATTGGCATGAAACCCATTTGGGTTTGTAGTCAAAGTGCCTACAGTTTATGCCACACAGCACACAAGCCATACCCCACCCCACCCCCAACAAAAACAAGCCAAGCCCCACCCCTGAGTGGTAGCTATTCTATGGGACAGAACAGAACTGCCCCATAGGGTTTCCAATTCTTTTTTTCCCCAGCATCATTTATTTTATTATTATTTTTAAATCATTTTATTGGGGCTCAAATACAACTCTTATCACAATCTGCACATACATCAGTTGTGTAAAGCACACCTACACATTCGTTGCCCTCATCATTCGGGTTTATAGGCCCAGACAGCCGCTTCTTTTCAAACCCCGCAGAGTGGCTGGTTGGTTCAAACCACTGACCTCTGGATTAGCAACACAACACTAAACCCACCATGCCACCAAGACCCCTTAAGCCAGGCCTACCAGGGCATCCACAAATAAATTACTCTCCATAGCCTTGTGGACGCCAGGAACAGATGCCGGGCAAGCAGTGTGTACTTCAGAGAAAGCCGTTACTCTTCTCCGGAAAGCTGACGCCACATGATGGTTTTCTTTGGGGGGTGGAGGGGGTGGATGGAGTGGGGGGGAGAAGGGGTAACAGAGTAAGAGAACCAGGTAAGTTTAAACTTTTCCCCACATGCACACCGGCGTTTTGCACACACCATGAGGCCCTTTGCAGTGGGAAAGGATGGGCAGTGGGTGTTTCCAGCTGCCAGAGCCCCTGCGGCATCTACCTGGGGGCAGTGACCGGTGAGGCCCGGGCAGCTCCAAACCTCCCTGTCTGGCTGCAGAAGTAGCCTTGGACTGCTTGGGCTTTGGGGCTTCCCTGTTCCCTTGCTTTTCCTGGAGGGCCGGGGGTGGAGAGGGCGTAGCAAACAGGAAGGAGGCCCCAGTGGCGTAGGGGTTACACATTGTGCGACGATCCACAAGGTCAACGTTCAAAGCCGCCAGCCGGCCCTCAGGAGGAAGACGGGACTTTCTCTTCCTATTAGGAACGACAGGCTCAGAGCCACAAAGGGAGTTCTGCCCTGTCGTCCATGCACTCAATGGCGGAGTTTGGTTTGGGATTTTGGGGAGTGCAGGCAGGTCTATGTCGCCTGGAGGAAGCCGACAGCCGTGTGAGTTGCGCCCCCGGTCCTGGGTGGGGTACTCAGACATCAGCTTCTGTTAGAGCCTACTTCTCATGGGGGTGGGGGAAACCGCGGTCCAGAGAGGACGTGCTGGGCCAGGCCCATGGGGTCACACCTCCTGCTGGTTGCCCCATCTCAATGGACATGTTTGAAAACGGGGCAGTCCAGGCCAAGTCTCTTTGCCAAAGTCTCTCAACTCTCTCACACCTTGCAGGTTCTCCAAACCTCTCCCCAAACCCGATGTCCCCGGCGCACAACAACTTGGGTAAGTACCTCCTTGTCCCTCTGCTTGGACTCCTCAGGCAGCAGCCCCAGCTGCTGCTGGTGGTGGTGGCCTGGGGGCAGGGCTGCAGTGTCGCTGAAGGTAAGGAAGGCTCTCCCCTCTTCCCACTGGCCCCCTCCCCCCCCAGGTTTCTGGTTACAGTGATGCTGGGGTCACCCACAGAACAAGGAAACCTGAGAACCGCAGTGGCGGGAAAGGCAGCCTTATGCTGGGTTGATAGGTCCCCCGGGTGCTGGTTAGACGTGAGTGAATGCATATCCCCCAAACCGTGTGCCCGGGAGAGGGGGCCAAGCACACAGGTGTGGTTTGATGCAAAGCCAGGGGCCCAAGACTGAGCAGGCTCCCACCCCCGACTTCCAGAGACTTGTCCCAGAAACACCTTTTTGGACGTTACTGAGCATTTCATCTTAAATTTTGGTCATTTTAATTAAAACAGTAACCAGAACGGAATTTTAAAGCAAACGATGTGGTCGTGACCCAACCACCCTAATATATAAGCACTTTCAGTCTCACGTTCCTCCTTATGTTTGTGGAAGAAGGCTCAGAAAGTTCATGGAAAAACAGCTGAAAGAGAATAGGATTGTCCCACATACCCTTTGAGGTCTAGACAGATCTCCTGTTGTGTTCCTCTGGGTGGACTAGAGAAACAAATTCATAAACACGCGTATGTATATAAGAGAGAGGTTTACATACAAGAGGAATTGAACATTGAGAAAACATCCCAACCCAGTCCAGTCCAAGGTCATAAGTCCGATATTAGCCCATATGTCTGACAGCAATCTACAAAGTCCTCTTCAGACTGAAGAAACACATGCAATGATGCCAAATGTAGAAGATCACAGGCCAGTGGGTAGAAAGTCTTTGGTGGTAGAAGCATCTCACCGCTGGCAGGGGTTTCCACGTGCCCATTCCAGTTCCCAGGGCTGCATTATCAAGGTAGGTCCATGTGGCATCTCCTCAGGGATGCCTCGCAGGAAGTCAGCCTCGTCAGTAGAGCGTCTCCAAGGGAGTGACAGAGAGAGAGGTTTCTTCTGCCTCCAAGGAGCAAGTCCCAGATTCCCAGAATTCTCAGAAGGCCATGCCCACAGAGAAGGCACATTGGCTATCTCAGGATTGACAGCCTAGACTCCACCACTACCCTTTTAATCCTTAAATTGACACCAGATTGGGTGACTACCACACCTGTACCCCTCACCATCACAACTGCAACTATCGTGCCATATCCAACTTCCAATTCTTGTTCTCCGTTACATTATTTTGTAAACACATCTCCATGCTTAGATGCCCTGTTTACCATTTTGAGGGCCCTGGGTAGTGCAGACAGGCCCTGGCAGCACTGTGGGTCAAGGGTTGAACTGCTAACTGCAGGGCTGGGGGTTCAAACCCATCAGCCGTTCCTTGTGAGAAAGATGAGGCTGGCTGCTCCTGCAAAGCTGTAGGGAGCAGTTCTGCGCGCACCCTCGGGTTGCTCTGAGTTAGTTTCAACGCGATGGCAGTGGGTGTGGGTGGTAAAAAGATAAGCTACGGTGACCCAGTGGTTAAGCCATTTCTGTTGACCCAAAGGGGGGTGGTTTGAACTCCCCAGCTGCTCTGTGGCCAGCTGCGTCCGTGAAGATGTGTCCCCTTGGAGACCTCCCTGGGGAGTTCTGCTCAGTCCCACTGGGTCGGGGTGAGTGGGAGTCACTCAGCCAGCCACAGGAGATTGGGTTTGATCTGGGTTGGCAGGTACAAATGGTGGGCACCCGAGCCCAAAGGCTGGCTGGGGGAGCACCCTGAGAGGCACCTTGAAGGCAAAGCCTGGCCGCCTTCCTCCCTGGAGATCCCTGGGGAAGCAATACCCCTGTCACGTGATGGGAGGGTGGGCTGGCCTGTGATGGGGAGTGGTCTCACAGCTCCTTGAAGAGGCCTGACCTTGGTTTGGGCCCCCAGCCGTGCAGAGAGTGGGGTCAGGTTTACAGAGAGCCACTCTAACCTACCAGGAGTTGCCCTCCACTCTCCAGCTGGGACGGGCTCATCTCACGCACTCTGGTGGCTTTGGCGTGGAGCCTGCCAAGGGTGTAAAACAAATGGAATATATGATTCGTTTTTATTACCGGGAGGGCTTTTTTCTTTTTTTAATGTTCTGGTCTGGTAATTTTAGGAAATGCAGTCGGATTCTGTTTGGGGCTCCATGGCCGGGACTTCGTCTGTGGGTTTGGTGACTAGAAGGGAACGGGGCTGGTGAGGCCCCCTTTGCTCTGCAGTCCGCACTGAGAGCGTTCCATGATGAACCTCCTCTTTGGGATATTGAGGGTCGCTGGGGAAGCTCTGAGAGCCGGCGGACAAGTGGGAAGACCCCATTCCTGATGCGAAGGGGCCGTCTGCAGGATTGAACACAGCCCCGCAGGGGAGAAGCCATGTTCACACTTGAGAGATGAAAGGCCTTGCTCACGCACTTGACTCTGAGCTTTTGAGGTTGACTGGTTTAGGTTTCATTTCTGAGCCATTTCCCCACCCAGCGGCCGAGGCCACACTTCGTCATCAGGCCTTATAGCAGGCGTTTGCCTTTGAAACCCCAGAGGTCAGCGTGGAGGAGTGGCCACCCGACACAGTGGTTCGGGCAGAGGGTATGCTATGAATTCCCCTCTAGACTGTGTGGACAGGGATGTGTCCTGGAGTTTGGATCAAAGCAGAGTCCTCCTGGGCAAGGCTCTCCCTTCTCACTGCCCTGCCCTCCAGCTGCTCATCTGAGAGTTGGAATTCCTAGGTCGTTACTCCGGCCTTGATCTGGTTACATCTCTGCTGGGAAGATCTGATTCGGGGATGAGTCGGGGGGCAAGTTGAGGGGTGAGTCAGCCACTGAGTCAGAGTTCGTTAGGACTCACAGGCCCCACAGCCTTTCTGCATCATGGGCTCTAGCTCCCCAACTTCAGCCCAGCCAAAGCCATTGGCTTCCCCCCTGGCCAGAAGAGTCCTGTAGACTCCCATGTCCCAAGGGGAAGGAAAGGAGGTGGCGACGGTGACGGTGACGGCAAACACGGATTGCGCACCTAGAGTTCACTGAGTATTGTATTGCTCAGGGTGCTCCCTGCATTTTTAACTCCATTAACCTGCATGACACCCTTGTAAGGTAGGTGGTGTTAGTTGCTATTGAAGAAGAGATTTCGACTCAGAGTGGGCCCCACGTGTGCAGCGTACAGTGGCTCCTTAAGGGTTTGAAAGTTGCAACCTTTCAGAAGCAGGTCATCAGGACGGTCTTCCAAGGAGCTGCTGGGTAGGTTTGAACCACCAACCTCTGAGCTAGTAGCGGAGCATTGGCTTAACTTGTGTGCACCACCTCGCACCTCATCAGGTAGTATACCTGTTCCTTGCTTTGGCTCAACCCAGGTCACACAGCTAGTAAGTGTGGGCACTGGCTTTGAGTTTGGCCCTTGGAGGTCCACAGCATGTGCCCCATCGGCATCATGGCCCCCCGCTCAGCTAGCCCCCCACTTTCTCATTCAGAAGAACGAGAGTCAGAGAAGGGCATCCATCCAGGTCTAGTTACGGACAGGAGGAGCCCTGGTGGCATAATGGTTACTTGTTGGGCTCTACGAGCCTCAAGATCGGCAGTTCAGAACCACCAGCTGCTTCTTGGGAGAAAGACATGGGCACTTTACTCCACATCCGGGTTCACCTTGGAAACCCACGGGGGCAGCTCTACCCAGTCCTACCGTCACTGTGAGTTGGAACCAACTTGATGGCAGTGAGTTTGGTTTCGGTTTGTGTTCGGGACAAAGGGGCCCTGGGTGTCGCTGTGGATTAGCCATTGGGCTACTAACTGCAAGGCTCGCCGTCCAGACCCCCCAGGCGCTTTGAGAAGCATGTGCTGTCTGCTCCTGTGAAGGTTTACTGTCTTGGAAGCCCTGTATAGGGTTCCACAGATCAGTGGGTAGTGGGACTGGGGGACATATGTCAGGCTGACGCCCTTGTACCCTGCGCAGCCCCTGGGTGGGAGCCACGCCTGCCTGTCCTTCCCTCCCCTTATTCCTCATACAGCTTGTTTCCGTGCACCCGCCCAGGAAGGTCTCAGGAATGACATCAGGGTGCTGGGCACTAAATCACCACAAACCAGGAAGTAGGAGCAGCCGGTATGCTCTGCGGGGTGCAGAGGAAGAAGAGGCGGCCTCACTGGGACACACTTTCAGCCCTGCCTGCGGCGGCCCTCTGTATTCTCATTCAGTCAGCATTTGTGATTGCCTGCTAGGGGCCGATGCTGGGGGTCCCAAGCTGGGTGAGAGCATGGCATTCGCAGCCTGGATGGTTGAGGGTGTCCGTGCCCAGCAGTGTTGTGGAGTGCCAAGTACCAAGGGCACACGCTCTGAGGAGGGAGGACCTGGCATGCCCAGGATGCAAACTCAGGATGTGGTGGGGAAGATCGCAGAGGCTCATCCGTCTGTGAGCTGGGCTCTGTGAAGGAGAAAGTGAGGGCTAGACCTCAGAGGGGGAAGCAGTGGGCCAGGGAGCGCTCAGAGGACAGCTGGCCTTGCCATGGCCAAGGGCAGCTCCTTCGGGTTCCTGCTGAGTGTCCATGGAGGCCTCGGGGAGAGCGGTTTGAGTGGAGAGGAGGGGCCTGAAGTGGTCAGCGTTGGGCTGACGGGTGAAGGGAAGGTGGGGCCCCAGAGATCGAGAGCAGAGACAGTGTGTGTATTTCTTCTTGGTGGCCAGGTATACAGTGGGCCCTTCCTGGAAAAGGACAGGCCTTGCCTCGGGACATCGGATCATTTCTTTCAAAGAAGGGATTGTGAAACCGAAGCCCGAACAGCACAAGGCACCTTCTTCCCTTTTCTCTCCACGCAGGCGTTCTTGGCCTGGGGCTCAGGAAGGCTGCCCTTCCTGCAGCAGAGGCCGCTCTCGTGACCCTGGGGTGGGGGCGGGGGAGGCCGGCTCTCAGTAGCACCCCCCACCTCCAGCCTTGTCTTTCAGGGAAGGGGGTATGAGCAGGTGATGTTCCTGTTGTGACA